GGCTTTCACCTTCTCGAAAGCTTTATCCTAAAAAATTACAATATCATTTTGGGCATCCACCCAGTCTTCTTCCAGCCTTCTCTTAAGGAGAGCCTCTGCCTTATTAGACTCTTTCAGTGTTTCCATTTTCTCCTTCACTCATGTGAGCTCTTCCATTAGCTTATTTGCTTCCTCATATTTATTTTTCTTAATATCCTTCAATCAGTCACATTATTTAGTAACGAACTTAAAATAATCCTGAGCCTCATTCCCTTCCTTTCTCTAAGTGTTCAAATTGAGTTTTAGATTGGTGACTAGCTTGTCAGCCTAACAATAAACATTAAAACTGCCGTGCTCCAATAGGAACCCCCTCAACATATGGGTTTCTAGAGCATTTGACACCTGTCTGGCTCATATGATCCATCATGAGATGATCATTAGGGAAGTCCGTACATGTTTGCACAAAACTCATGTCGTCAAAGTCCTTGTCCTTGTGGGACTATACCTTGTTCCCTAAGGAAATAAAGGAGGATTTCCCCGTCTTTGGTGTTCCATCCAAATTAAAATTTCTTATCGCACATCCAAATTAATAATGGGTACGGGTTGCACTTCAATAGAGGGTTGACTTTGAGAAGTAGAGCATGCTTGTCCAGCTAGAGCAGGCATCACAGATTTTAAAGGGCACACTATTATGGAAAACCCATTTAACAACTGTTGGAAAAGATATATAATCACGCGGGCCTAAGCGTTGTTATGAAGAGTGTCGTTGTATATATGATACTTACAATCACGGTCCAGTAATCATTGTAATAAACTGGAAAGCGCGTGCCCTATCTCAACGGGTTTTCCAAAAGACCGTTGTGATAAGTATTTTTTTTTCTAGTCAGCGCAAGAGATATTATAACGGTTATGATAAATAACCATTGTTAAATTTTCTGCAAAATTAACAAATAATATCCTGCTTTTATAATTAATCATATTTTTTAACCTGTATTATTGTAATTAATCACATTATTTAACATTTGTAGTAAAGTTATCATAATAATAATAATTGTATCATATTCATAATATCAAATAATTGTATCATATTCAATACTCCATAACATCATCACATGAATCCAAGGTAACCAATACATCAACCATTACACCATCAGTCAACATACAAACCTAATCAACTATAACCTATTTCGTCATTGTTGTTACAACAAATACAATGAACACTACAAATAAAAAAAATACAGGTAATCTTCAACTGTTTCTTCAGGATCTTCACCTTCAACTTCAACTTGTCCTTCTTGGTTCTGTAGGTGTTAACCATATCCTTATTCTCATTCAAGTTCTATACTAGTGAAGAAATAATTTGTTTTGCCCTAGGATTCATCTCCTCTTCCAACCGAACAAAGTGAGAGCTTTTGTTGTATCCTTGAATCTTATACATCTCACAGCCATAGAAACAACGGCCTGGGTTCGAATCGGTCCATGTCGTCATCAACGGAGTGTCGAGACCACACTTGCATGCGTACCTTAAACGAATTTAGGACTTGCTTCCATGGCTACAGCCGGACTGCTGAGACATTTTAATAGAAGGATTTGATGGAAACTTGAAGAAACTGGGGAAAAGAAGACGAAAAACAATTCAAAAGGATCAAGAATGCAAGATATAATAAACAAAAACAACAACATTAATGTTTTAAGATACACCTTTTTTTTAAATTAATCGTGGATGTCGAACAAATGAAGTTCATCTAGTTTATGAAGCTAGGAAGAAAAAGTACAAGGTGAATGAAGTTAACACAATAGCTTCATACTTCTTGTATTTCTCTTCATAACTACACAAACCATATGTATCAACAATAACCACATTAATCAACAACATACAATAACACAAGATATTATGTAATTTTTCAAGATACATCTTTTTTTAAATTAATCGTGGATGTCGAACAAATTATGAAGTTCATCTGGTTTATTAAGCTATGAAGAAGAAATATAAGGTGAACAAAGTTTACACAATAACTTCACACTTCTTGTATTTCTCTTTATAGCTACACAAACCCTATTTATTTCTCTTGTAAAGGTGGTGAAGACGAATCTAAAAAAATGAGAACATTCACCAAATGAAAAAACAAGAACTCATTTTTAAAAAGAAACATAAATGAAATCGAAGCATAAGTTTAATGAACAAACCTCAAGTTAGCGATTGGTGAAGACGAATCTGAAGACGTATCTGAAGGTTGAAGTATGTTTAAAAGGTGACATGGATGTTAGGGTTATGTTATGAGAGAGAAGAGTGAAGCTATGTTAGGGTTTTCTTTTTTTGAGAAATGGCTCTTACGTACTGGACTATAGATGCTTTCGCTTATATACTAAAAACTATCACTTTTCATCACGGTTAGAAAGAAAAACTGTGATGCAATTTTCAAATTTTACAACGGTTGTATTATAAAATCGTGGTTAAATAACTTTCAAATTTTAAAACGGATGGTTTACATAACCGTTGTAAAATCATTTACAATTTATTCTTTAAATAATGAACTTAAGTTACACACGCTTAATGTACTATAAAAAATGGAAAAAATATAGTTGTTGGAAATCGAAGCTTGCTACACATCATTTATTACTACGGTTTTTTAAAACAACTGTCATTAAATTTCTGTTTATAATTCCAGGGTGCGGAAATTTTAACCTATTACAACGGTGTATATGAATCCGTTGTAAACCTGGTGTTGTTGTTTACGCGTTTTGTAGTAGTGGCATGTGGAGATGATAATTCCTTCATCACTTGTATTCCTCTTTCCTTTTTTAACAGACCTTTAGGGTCGCTATAGGGATCGTTTGACCATATATCCCCTTAAGTGTCTTTATACTTTGTGTGGAGATCCAACGTATGTTTGATAGTTAGTGTGGTGCCATACAAACAAAAAGAAAAATATTAGACAAGGACAATGGATTATAAGTGCCCGAATAATGATTATACTTTTGCAAGTAGTCGCAAATATATTTGTTTCTAGTGTCACTTTTGTCAAACTACACCATCTCCATATAACTCATCATACAAAAATCGTCCAAGATATTAAGGACCTCTCTTTCTGTTTTTGTGAGAAAATCATAATTGAGCCAATTTATCGCCAGAGGGTCCTCTATCCAATAAAAATAGAAATCATTTGTTATGGTTCTCTCACGAACTTATCTTTCGAGTTCTTATAATTGTTTGGAATGGGGTGAAGAGAACCCTCATGGATATGGCGCCCAAGGTGACCAAGCAACCCTTGTTATTAGTCTTGATGTCGTAGAAAGATAAGAATAGACCCGCAGTAGGAGAGGCCTCCAAATTCCTACACAATATCTCAAGTTCCTTAATAAAGGTCAGTCTAATAGGTGATATTTAAGAAGGGGTAAAGTTGATGGTTTTAAGCACCTAAGACCCAAACATTATGAATGGGATTAGAATTCCAAAATCATGGATTGTAGGAAGATATATGTAGAAGCAGTCGTCCTCTGAATCGTCATAGGGCTCTATGTGAGCCATTTTGTCTTTAGAGCAAGACTCCAAGATAATGTCCTCCTCATTCCATGAGTTGGAAAAATTTCAAGCCCTTACAGGAATAGTTCACTTTCCCTTGCTTGGTATACATTGTATCATTATCTTCGACCCCTAATATTTTTGAAGAGTTAGAGGTCATCAATAAACCTGGTTTTTCTAAGAAAAAATAGAGGAAAAAGGAGTCACCATTAGTACTAAAGTTTGAGATACTTTTGTAACTTTCAAACATCCCTATTTGAAAAAGATTTTAATCAACCGTCCTATCAGCTCGACTATCGTTTTTCATACAATATTCTCACATCTCCGTAAGCTCTGTGCTAGTGGTGGGTTCAATCATGTTTCCGCTCTCGTCTAAATACTTAATGATTTCCATTACCTGAAAAAGAAAAATGATAAAAGGAAATAGAGAAGACGTAATACCAGAGTTTGACTGTAAGAAGGATGGAAGATGCGGTCAAGCTTAAGATAAATTCTTAAGAAAATTTCTCACTTGTGAGAAGTAGAAAAGTTGGAGAATAACATGAAAAAGAGTAAAACATAACCCTATTAATATGAAGAAAATTTGTTAGGCTCATAGGATATCATTACTCTAACATAGGTGTGCGTCAGCAGTTGGACAGAGATAGCATCCACGGCTGAATATGTCTACATGCATCCAATTAATGGTTCACAATGATCACACATTCCCGAGACAAGAGCCAATGTGCATAAGCATTAAATGTTGCACGTGTCCCGAGCAAACACTTGAGGGACTCGCCTAAGAAATACTCGAGGGACTCGCCCCAAGCAGCTCTTGAAGGACTCACCTTAAGCAATGTTTGAGGGACTCGCCCAAGTAGCACTTAAGGAACTCACCTCAAGAAACGAGCAAGGAAACTCATCCAAACTAATTCTCGAAGGATTCATATATTAATACTTCAATAAAATCGTTATCTATATAACGTTAATTATTTTTCCCTTCTCAAACCCCGTGCTTGAAAAATTGTGGATCAAAATAACTGTATTGGGTCTAAAAAGAAACCGCCCAAAGGACCAAAAAGGATATTACCTAAAAAGCTAGACAAGAAGTGGGGCGGACGTCGCCCGGGGTTGCACGACCTAGACTCACTCTCCTTAATCGACCGATTAGCCAAAACGTGACACGCAACATTTCCCTAATGAAGTCACTCAAATGCAACAAAAGGGAAAGAAATTATTCCCCTATAATGGAAGAAAAACTAGTCTCCTCCTACATCCACAACTTCGTAAGGAAAGAAGAAAAAAGAGTTTCCCCTGTAATGGAGGAAGAACCTGCCTCCCCTACTTCCATGAAGCTGACAATAAATATTCCAACCTCGGAGCTTAAAGATTGATTCACTAATTTCATCAAACCATGGCTTACAAAGTTTCTTGCTATCAAACACTTAAGCAGAGATTCTCCCCTTATTGCATTTCACAAGTAAAATTTCTAATACAAAATGCATTTATGTCAAACTAATTAACGAACACCAACAGACATGTTTACAAATACACCAAACAAGAGAATTGTAAGACCTAGAAAGTTGACCAAATTAGTTTCTCTCTGATATGGTTTTAGATTTATGAAACCAGACTTCTCCATCAATCCTGTTTCTGCAGCACATATGGCCATAAAAAGTAGCACTCTCCCACTAGCTCTATGCCATGGAAGCACTCTTGCTCTTGTTGAACCTTGTGCTCCAGGAACCAAGAAAGTTACAAAACCAAACATCCACTGCAATTAGTAATTACTAATCAACAAATGAACACAGCAACTTCCCATAATTTAACTCAATCTCATGACGATTAATATGAACTTTTACCTGCAAACCAAACAAGCAGAAGGTGCCAATGCCAATCCATGAATGAAGGCTATAAACGTCGGCAATATTTCGCATATTATGAAACTTGAAAACGGCACACAGACCAACTATGCCAAGAACAATAGCTATCAGGTGCAATGTCATATGAACAACCTTTGGTATAGGTCTTTGGTTTGGTACAGTTTGGAACGCCATTACACCTACCCAATTTTGACAACACCAAATCAACGAAGATAACTACTAGCATTATAGTAAGATATGACTCTAAAAAAGGAGGTACAATTAGCAGATAGATACCTTCACCAACAAGGAAAATAAAACCCAAGAACATCATCAAAGGATGCACCTACATAGACAAACTCAAGTTTAACATCGTATATGTGATTGACATATTATACGTAAACATGAACAAATTGAAAATGTTTTACATTGAAGACGCGAAGTCCGTCGTCGGAATCATAGTCGATCCCTTCGCGATAGTGCAACAACCAAACAAGTAAGAGTACGATGGAGACGATGCCAAACAAATGAGCCAAACCTGAAACTCCAATGGAAGTACTCATTGTGTCACAATATCTTTGTATACGTAGATAAGTTTTTATAGTGTTGTTATGAGATGGTAATAAAAAGAAGAGTGAAAAAAGAGAAGATTGCTTGTGTTGCTAGTTTTGGAATTTCGTATAAACTATGAAACGTTGGAATTTAGCAAACATCTTCGTGTTAGTTTCAAAAATAAGATATCTATGACATATATTCTTACTTCTGAGTATGTGGTAAGCCTATGCATGTGACGAACAGAATACATTTATCTCACTGTCAATTTCTACGTGTTAATAAAGATTTGTATGTTGGAAATAAACTTCTAATGTCATTTTGGGTTTAGATCCTATCTAACTTTCTTTATTAGATCCTAACTATTAGGAAAAGTCGTGTAAGACCTTGACTGATACAATCGAGGATTTATACAGGAGCGATTTTATTAAGAATTGGAACATCTAAAAACCATAAACTTAACACACTTAATGGGAACTTTCATACTTTTGGAAGGATACTCTCGGATACCTATTACTAAGAGTATGAATCCGAAAGCATTTCAGTTAATCTTTATATTATATTTACCAATTAATATTATCTACTAAATAATATTACTCACCAATTAATCAATTAATTTATGACAGCAAACCAAAAAATAATAATAATAGACGCCAAACAAATTTAAGTAGGAAACATAGTCGTTATATAATACAATAGTTTGTATTTTTTAAAAGTATAACACGTGACAACTCCTAGTAATTAATGGCAATGAGAGATTTTTAATATTTGTTGTGGTGTTAGAGTTGGCTCATATGGGAACGTGAGAAGTTTTGTATGTAGTATTTTTACGTAATGAATAAGATGCTCTCTCAACCTTAAGATTGGGATATTTATAGAAATTATTGGGTATGGATCTTAGGCTCCCATGAAGTATCAACCGTTTCTAGGAGTATGGGAAATGGACTGTCAAATCTCTTATTATTTAGAAGAACATGATTTTTCCACATTTGAGTCCCTCTTTGCATTGTTGTGAATTAGGACACGACACTTTCATCCATAAATTGAGCGAGTTAACCAAGGAATAGGCGACATAACTAAGAGATGGGCGACTGCTCCAATAAATGGGTGACTAGGAGATTAGAGTTACCTTCCTTTGGTGATCCATATGTGTTGTCTTTTATGGGTCTTTTGTAAATATATTAATACACAATTTCTCAAGTACGATGGTATGGAAAGGATCAAGTGATTTAACTGGTTTTCTTCTTATTATTTGGATGCCCCCCTTAGGTATGCCTGGGGTGGATCCCTTAAGCTTGAGGTGAGTCCCTCAAACCTAGCCTGTGATATATCTCCAATTGTTAACGAGATGAATCCTCAAACGTCAATTGAGTAAAATATTGCAAATGTTTGTTGAGGTGAAAAACGTGTGTTATATTAAATGCGATCGATGATGGATTTTCCTCGGGAAGTCAATTTGACCTTAATCCCTCACATGTGTCTCTAATATGGGGAATATTTATTTCTTTTTAACTTTTCGGATTCCAAATGGGCATTGTGGATTACCCCTATAATTGGATTTCCCCTCCCTATAAAACGATTTCAGCTTTCCCTTATTTATCATTTTTCGCATTCTCTTCTTCCAAGCTTTCAATCCATTTTCTTTAGATTTCTACAAGCGTATAATGCACTCATTTTACAAGTTCTTAAATGCATTTGCAAGTATAACTTTATCCACTTTTAAATATCTTCTCTCTTAATGGTGATTGTGAAATTTTTAGAATGTTCAAAGAGTGAGTGTGCACCGGTGTCGTGAGTTTAGAAATTTGGGTTCCATGAGTGCCTTGGTAGTTCTGATAGTGATTCTCTTAACTTTCCTATTTTTATTAGGAATCACTAGCGGATATAGGTGCTAAATGTTTCAACGTCAAAAAATTTGCGCTTATGTACTCTAATGAGGAGAAGATCGCTGCTATTCGGCAAAAAAATCAAACTTTTCAATAGTGGACATGAATGTGATTTTGGAACCCTATTCTAAGGGCCAATATAGACACTCCATATGGTTTTCTCATCTCCTACTTCTATTTTCACTTCCCTGTTATTCATGATTTAGGGGTTTTAATACATTTTACATCTGTTGAAGTTGAATTTCTAACGACTCTGAATGTTGCTCCTTCCAAGGTTACACTCAATGTCTGAAGCGTGATTAGGGTGTTCGAAATTACATGTTGGCGATTGGGAGTCTTCCTTACCGTCGGGATATTCTTTTTTTCTATGGTATCAAAATCAGCGCCAAAAGAGGATGGGTGGCCTTATGCGCCTTACCAAGAAAAAGTTGTTCAATCCCCACTCAAAACCTAATACTAGAAGGACAAGTTTGTGAGGGTCAAAGAGAGAGATTATGCCTAAATAGTCATAGTTTGGGAAACTGGCGCCCCTCAAGAAATCTAAAACTCATCATAGGCTTTAACTTTGATTACATTAACTCAATTGAGCAAGAGGTGGTTCAAATATTGAATGACTTCAAAGTCATGAGCTCTCGTGCTATTATCACTCTAGCTCGGGAAGACGATAAAGGGATAGATGAGTATGTGGATAAGTTGATGGTTAAGAAAATTATTTGATAGACTACTTTATTTTTTTTTTTGTGCAATGCAAATAAAATGTCAAAAATTCCTCTAGCTGAAGGAATGAGTGTATGGCCAGGAAGAAATCAACTGATGGACAAACCTAATAGTAGCCCAGGCGGCCTAATGATTGAAGAAGGTGTCGCAACTGCGGAAAAACAGAGTTGCCACCGGATGTTATTTATCCCGACGGGGGGAAAGAAAACAATCGAAGAAACCTCAAAAAAGGAGAAGATGTGGTCTCGCAACCAAATTCTGGGTTCGGGATTTGATTATGCAAGAGGAAGGTGTTAGCACCCCTCACGTCTGTGTACTCAACGGAATCCACTATTATTGTTCTAATCAAAGGGTGTGTTTATCTAAAGCCTATCTGCTAATCAAAATGGAAACGAAAAAAAACAAACGGAGACTCGATAGGACTTCGACGTCCTAAGCCTATGTATTCTCTCGTGCAATAGGAAAGTCAGAGTCAACATAGTTAAGAGGACTACAGGTGAAAAGGGGAAGAGTGATCGCCAAGACTTCGTCGTCTTGTGCCTATGTATCCTCATTCGGACGAGAATGAAGAAGTCAGAGCGTTCGTAGTTCGGTCTACCACGGGTTGCTAAGTGTCTTTTATGATAAGTTCGCATTCTAGCATAGGGTAGAGGTCTGTTTGCGATAGAACGGAAGTAGCATGCCCTTTCTGAAAAGGCTTGAAGGAAAATCATGAAGGACAAAAATGTATTTTCAGCAGCAACAACAGTGCTTCAGCTCAAAACAGCGATAAGGTCCAGCAACAACATAACACAGCATTTAACAGCTTATATTTCCAGAACAGAACATGTGTAAAATATAGCTAAACAAACAAGGCAGTATTTAACAACATGTATTTTCATAACAGAACATGTGTAAAATGCAGCAAAACAAAACAAGGCAGCATTTAAGAGTATGTATTTAACACAACAGCAGTGTATACATCAGCATCATGACACATATTCAAAGATATCATGGAAGAATGAGCATGAAAATACATCACAAAAGTCTAATCAAGCATCAAGATTGCAAGCCACTAAGATTGAGTAACAATTAGCATGTAATTAAAGCATTCAAGAATACACATGATTATACATCAACATTTAAATAAATGCACATGAATTTGCAAGGATCAAGCATGAACAATGCACCAAATAAATCAAGTAATGCTTATGAACATGCATCAAATAAATCAAGTAATGCTTATGAGCATGCATCATCATCAAACATCTTGAATATGCAACACCAACAAGCAATTGTCAAAAGATCAAACACTTAGTGTGCACATGTATTCACAATGCCACAAGATAGCATGCTTCAAGAGTAATATGAATGCTCCTCAACAACTAAGCATTTAAAGCGAACATGCATTCATAGATCAAGCAAAGTAAACATCAAAAGCAAGCAAACATCAATGTGCACGTGATTAATCAAGAATGCAAACAATTAATCATGAATCATGAAGTTTAGACATGAAAAGCAATTTTCAGCAACTTAATCACTTAATTACTACATGTTAGGGCATGAACTTATTCACAAAAATTACATTAAATAGCAAAAATTAAACAAAAATTGAGTCTAACAACATCAAGATCAACAATCAAATCAACCAATGGATCAATTAACACCAAAATCACAAAATCTACATTGTGAAAATGCAAATTAAGCAAAAATTAAAGCTAGTTCCAAGAATTACCAAACTACAAAGCCGATATTTGCTTTGGTACGTGTTGTAAACAGAAATTGATGAATTAAGCAAAGAAAACTAGAGATCCACAAGCTTCTTCACAAGAAAAGTTGAAGAACAATGCAATAAACTAGAATTGATTCAAAATCACTTCAAGAAAAATGCTTCTATAACTCAGATCTAGATCTAAATTAACTTCTAATGCAAAATTTGTTGATGGAAATGCAATGTGATAAAGGTTTAGCTCAAGGATTTACAAACTCCAATGAAGAATTTGCTAACTCTGATGGAAGAGCTTTTGTGAGGATTTTGATATGAGTGAAAAAATGAGGGAAAAGTGAAATAGAAAATGAGAATTGGGAGGGAAATCAAAGTACGAAAGTTTGAAAATGAATTCATATGAAAAAACTGAGTTTGGGAGCTTATATACACCAAAAAATGGGTTAGCAGGCACGACCGGTCGATCTTTCGCTACTTTGTGCGTCGACCTGAAGGTGGCAGTGGCTAAAATGACCTGAAAATTTGATTGTGCATTGACCTAAAGGTCTTATATGCGTCGACCTGAAGCGGTTCATCGACCTGGAGCTGGCAGCAAGCTTCAACACCTTTTTTTCAACCTTATATCTTCATAACTTTTCATCCACGCATCTTTTGAAGTTGATTTCTTCTACAAACTTGTAGCATATGATGTCATCTTCAATTC